TAACTAGGATTAAACCATAAAAATATGATATTATGAATGTAAATAAGCTAATTAATAAAAGAAAGAATGAATTGAGGAGTTGTCCTTTACAGCACATCTACATAAATAAACCATTTTATCAATATATAAACTTGTTTACGTATTATCGCCTTCCGGTTAGCTCAGTTGGTGAGAGCGTCAGTCTGTTGTGCGGGAGACTCAGCCGGACAAACATTCAGGGTCTTAAAATGACTGAGGAAATTACATTTGTAAATGGTTAGACCTTCAAGTGATGACCACTTTAAATGATGGTCCCTTCTCTCCACACTTCATCATTATAAACCAATATTATTGGAGGTACATAAGAGAACACTTAGGACTTAAAGAAACCCTGTGGGTCACCCTCAGTGGTCACCTTCAGTAGTCACCCTCAGTGGTCACCCTCAGTGGTCACCCTCAGTGGTCACCCTCAGTGGTCACCCTCAGTGGTCACCCTCAGTNGTGGTCACCCTCAGTGGTCACCCTCAGTGGTCACCCTCAGTAGTCACCCTCAGTGGTTACCCTCAGTGGTCACCCTCAGTGGTCACCCTCAGTGGCCACCCTCAGTGGCCACCCTCAGTGGTCACCCTCAGTGCTTGCACCTCATACTAACCTCTCGTTCTTCACTCATTGTAAAGCGCCTTTTAACATATCCATATGGGAAAGAGTGCTTTTTAAATATCATAATCATATAACAGCAGAAAAGCCAGCAGACGTACGATATTCTCTCCAGACTAATCATGACAACAATCATGACAACAGATAAATGTGTACTATTGGTGAGAGGTATACTTTAGAAGATCATAAGTCATTAATACTTACGATGGCTGTTGTCAAGTAAGCGGCCGTGTTGTATCGGCTATACAATCTTGATCCGGAGGCGAGTGATCGTTGTTGTATCTAATTAGCATTTTCATTGTAGGGTTTGTATTGGGTTTTCATAATATTCACGTTCACCGATTTCTAAAGCCAGGATTGGCTTAGACTCTCATGAATTATTCATAACTTTTACAATCTCTATTAAATTTCGTAAAAAGTCAGGAAGTCAGATAGCCGATACGGCATTGCCGCTCATATTGTAAACATTACATATTTTGAAAAGTTTCTCTTATCCAGTTTAAACCTAATGAATACAATATAAATTAAATGTATATCGGCTTTGTTTACTTTGTCTTGGATTTGGAATGCCGGATTGAGAAAGAAGAGAATTGACAAGAGCATTTCTCTTGGAGTTGTGCTTTGCGCGTTGCTTATGAATATTTTTATTCAAAATTATGATAATTTCCTAAACGAAAGACTACAAGGAGCGTTTACTTGATTCCCAAAAGTATCTCTAGAAAAAGAGTCGCATTGAAGAAGAAAACGAGAAAAAAATAAACAAAACTAAGTATTAAAAACCATAAAACCTTCGCCAAAGCAATGTCTCTCCCCTAGAATAATTTGACAGTACTAATAATTTGAAAGTGTTTGACCCTTGGCGAATAAACGCTCAAGAAGTAAGCAATATTACTGTTAGTTTTTAAAAAAGTAAATGCAAAAGTATGTAGCGTATACTTTAGCTTGAAACGTTCAATCTGAAAAGGAAATAGTATCTTGTTTGCTTACTTTCCTTTTCGGCAGCTTCCCTTCACCTTTACAAGCAAGCTCTCATCCATCTACACATCATACATCTCCCAATCCATCCATCCACCATCATTAGTAAAAGGTTGGATAATAATATAACTGGTTCAACATTGATTATTGTTTTGTATCATCTTTGTTTAATAGCACATTATTGAAGGGCGTCTTCTAAACGAAGGAAAGATGGTGGCCACAAAGATAAGAAATAAACAAGTGCACAAGGTAAAATTAGTTGTTTCCTCTCTTTTTCCAGCTTTTAGTTGGTTGTGTTTCAGTGTAAAAAGTCATTACACATATACCTGACACATGATCCATATGCGCACAATATAATGATGAGCTGGCATTGCAGTGCATCGTGGGAAAGTGTTTTGGAAAATATTTCCAAAATGGCGTCTAATTTGTCTCCTTAAAGGGTCAACCATGCACTTCAATGTCAACTTGAACCAGTATGTATTTTCCTTAATCTCGGATTTGCTAATGCTATTTGTAGTTATCATTCATCATTTTGGATCAAAGTTTTAAAATAGTGTCTTGCGATCCTTAGGTTTTTCTCCCTGCTTACGTCACCATTGTTGCTATGGTAATTTTGGCAGCGTGTCACTGCAAGGCTGCCAGTCTGATCGACCGTATTAGTATTCAACCCAATAAACGAGGCGGAGTACATCCGTGTGACAACGTTAAGAACAATACAGTGGTCCATACTCTCAGTGGCGATGTTGTATGCAGGCTGCCATCCAAAGAGAAACTTAAGCAGAAGCTCGATATTATCGGTGGTTACAATCGACACTACGTATCTAGTACCTTAGATGAAGCAAGAGTACACTTCAAGAACCTTTTTGAGGGCTATGGAGAAAAATTTACAAACACCAGTAATTGGAGGGCCTGGCATATCGACTCAGATGCAAGTTTGAACTACGAAAAAGAGATGGAGGGTATGRATGCAATGAATGCAATGGATGACAGTGAAACGATTGAAGTGCAGAAACGAGAATCAAGCAATAGTTCAAATATACAATGCTTGGCTGGTGGTAGAGAAACAGCTGAAGGTAACATAAATTTTTAATTCTTTAATTTTTTTCACAATAATAATCGTTAGACTCATATATGTCTTGTAGCAGACTTCCTTGAAGCACGTTTCTAGCTTCCGTTGCATGAGTTAGCTTCTTTAGTTATGTTAGTGACTTGGTCYTTCCATCAAAGATCTCGTGGACGCCTTGGATACATGAATTACAACATGGATTACAAATTGTAAATGGTTGAGTAATCTGAGATTCTTATTAGTGGTAATCCATGTATGTCGTGGGAATAATTAAATTAAATTAATTAATCAAATTTTTGCTAGTGCTTTGTCACTATTACATTGCAACATCTGTAAGTGTTTAATTTTCTGTCATTTCTCTGCGATGCGCACGAGAGGAGCTTYTCTTCCCACAAGAGGAGCTTGTTGAGATCTTGTTTGAGCTGGTAAGCATCTCGTTGAGACTCGATTCTTTGGTACGAGATGCAATCAATTTATATATTCAGTTATTTACTAGCTTTTCCCACGAGGGCAGGAACACCACAAAACCTTTTTTGCTAATTACAGTGGCCCCTGTAGTGTTTAGCAGGGGCACCAAAGGTGGTCGTCACCATCGTCTTCAGTGGGTCTTTGAGGTCCGCCTTTTGCAGGGTTATATATTGAAGACCGACAGGACCTACGTTTTGAAGTCCTTGTCCGAGAAGACTTGGAGGTCTAACCATTTGTAGGCGTAATTACAAAGGCAGCACCTTCTCCTCAGTTATTATAAGACCCTGAGTGTTGATCCGGCCAAAGCTTGAATCAAGACCTCCGGCACAACAGAATTTGATTGATTAAGGCATTTTGTCACCAATATCATTGCTATACATATAAGAAACATCAGGGGGCCCAACACCGTTCCTTATAGGAAACTCCTGAGGCGATTGTGACCATGTCAGACTCTTTACCATCTAGTACTACCTTTTGCTCTCTCTGGGTAAGCCAGTCTATTTTTAATACTCTGATGGGAATAAGGTTTGGCCCACATGCCTTCTTTTCATTGAGAATTTTAACAACTAGGTAATGTCAGCACTGCTAAATGATACCGCTGGCATTTCGGGAAAACTCAGATCTTCATAAAGCAAATACCTGTTTGAATTGAGCAATCACTTTTTGCGTTGTCGACAAATTAAAATGAAAGGAAGCGTAATTGTCTTTTTCCCCTCTTTAAGGAATCCACTTCTGTCCAGCCTGCCAAAGATACACTGAACTACCAGCCAACATTTATCCTCGATATATCAACGAGCTGACATGTGATGACTCCCAGAGTGGAAGCAGTTCTATTCCAGGCTGTTTTTTAGGCCAATCCTTTCAAATCGGGACGTGCCGTCAGATAAACATGACCATTGACCTTCTGTCCCATCAAAATGGGCAATTTACGCTGACGTTTGAGAATGCAACCGTCAAGATGTATGAAGCAGTGTATGATGCGTTTACACGGGAACTGAGGATCAGTTGTGAATGCCTAGGATTTCCCGGCAAGTAAAATATTTTTGTTGTTGTCGCTGTCGTTGCATTTAATATACGACCCTGTCCTGTCCTGTCCTGTCCTGTCCTGTCCTGTCCTGTCCTGTCCTGTCCTGTCCTGTCCTGTCCTGTCCTGTCCTGTCCTGTCCTGTCTTGTTTTGTTTTATTTTGTTTTTAGTTTTTAGTTTTGTTTGTTTGTTGGTTTTTTTTTTGTTTGATTGTTTGTTTGTTTGTTTGTTTGTTTTTTGTTTGTTTTTGTTTGTTTGTTCGTTTGTTTTGTTGTTTTCGTTTTTTTTGTTTTTTTTTTCTTGGCAGGAATAAAGCGGTGTCGGTGAATCAAATTGTGTAGTTTATCTAAAAATCAAATGATATAGCCAGAGAAGAAGAATCCGGGGGTTTTGTCTCACACATCAATTGGATTCATAATTAGCAATTTAATTTAATTCATCATCCCCGATTTTCCTGCGGAATAGTAAATCCTCACACGGCATATTTATGTAAATTTTTATTCAACTAGCAGAGGTAAACTTGAATATTCCCATTTAAAAGTTGTAGAATTAATTTAATTGAAAATGAAATCTTCCCACCCATCTTGACAGCATCTATCTTCTGGTCTTATTTCCAGAGTTAGTACAACCATGAAGTTACGTACTCAACAGCAGAGACAAACGTCGTCCGTCCTATGCCAGACCGTGTTATACAGTCAATTCAAACAACGTTGTCGTCGACCAACTCAAGACTACGCGACTGGACCGAAAGGAACTCTGGGTAGCAATCATTGAAGCCGAGTTGACTCCATGATTTTATTTGACTAGTTATGCCTGGTTTACAGCACGAACCTTCGTAGGCGAGCGGGAAGTGGTGAAGGAGACGATTTTTTAATGCCTTCATATTCTCGAAATTGTGAATCATAACTTCTTTATTTTTCTTTCCCTAAACCCAAAGACATGCATTTGATGAACTGTTTCTCGCCATTATTATCTTATTACTAGCGGGAGCAATTAATTCAGAACGAATATTTAAACGCTTCAGGGATTTTTACCCATATACCATTCGGTCCAGTCGAGTAGGCTTGAACCGGTCGACGACAACGTTTTTTGAATTGACTGTATTGCAGTAGGTCCTTCTCCACTAAAGGATAATTATTTAAACGTTTCCAAACTACAAATGTTAAACAATAAAGTGATATACTGTTATTAATTAAATGTAGCATTACTTCAACAACAGTGAAAAGTATTGTTATCTTTTGTCGAATTGATGCTTTTAACGGCGGCCATGTTGGAGGAACTTAACAAAAGAATAGTCAATGAACTCTTTTGTTATATCCTCCAACATGGCCSCYGTGYCTTTTGTTTTTTATTTCTCTTTGGGATGGTTGAAAACCATCAATTAATACTCCTAGTGAAAAACAAAATATAGCAATTACTAAAATCAATAATAAAATAAGACCCTAGGGGAAGGGTACACTAGGATATCTGGGTATCCTAAGGGAAAAACTTGACCGGAATCTCTAAGAATCTAAAGGCAAATTGAAAATAAAACCTGTGAAAAACAATACGCCAGATACAYCAAATTCCCAACCGTTTCCGTGCGTGTCAGAGTGGGGAAAAAAGGGATTTTGCTGTAGGATATGGTATTGTCGCTCCATGTAAATGAATCCGGAATCCGGAATCCACGAAATTTTAGACTTTGGAATCCGGAATCCAGTTTATAATGGAATCCGGAATCCACCCTTTTGGAATCCGGAATCCGCTACTTTGAAATTCAAAGTATACACTCAAATGCTATCGCCTTGACCTAGACTGAACCGATGTAGCCCCTCCATCCCCCACTGTGTAATATCTCCACCAAGAATATCTGTCATCAGATGCAGATTTAATTGATAGACGATTCTACTTATACTGGCAAGTATATCAAATATAATTTTCAGAGAAAGTATCTGAAAATTAACGATATGGAATCCGAAATCCGCAATACAAAAGTTTTGGAATCCGGAATCCAGACACTTGGAATCCGTAACCCAGAGTCTCGGGATCCGGAATCCAGCACTTGGAATCCGGAATCCACCATAAGTCCGGATTACCTTACATGGGGCGAGTCTTGGGGTCAGCTACTCTCTTCCCTGTTGCCCTCGGTCTAGAATATCTTCTTGCGTAATTTTTACACCAAAGGGCAGAAGGCCTTCATTGCCTTCAGGTCCGAAGTCCATATGACGCCTCAGTTATGCGGATGTCTCGGCGGTTTTGCACATTGGAATATACCCATGACAATAGGCCGCGGTCACGTCTTTTCTTATGAAAAACAAAATCCACTGTTTTTCCTCCCAGAGTAATTCCTCTCGGGACTCAGCGTTGGGGGTCTATACATGCCTTTGAATTCTATTAACACTAAGACTATCAAGAAGTATTTTTGTTTTGTTTTGGGGTTTTTTTGTTTTGTTTTGTTTTGTTTTGTTTTTTTTTTGTTTTTTTTGGTTTTGTTTTCCTTTCCTTTTCTTCGTTTGAAAATTGAGTTCAGACCTTACTCCACTTGTTTTATTGGTATTTTCTCTATATATTGCTATACTTTCTGTTAGATATGTTATGGAGCTCCTGATTGTTTATTCAAAAGTGTTGCCCAGTATCCGAGCGACAAGGAAGTGATCAAACGCTAAATCAATTACATCCCAAAGAACCTCGTGTTTCCATGCCTTTATTACTACTTTATTACAAATGAGAAGAATGAAAAGCTATTAAATATTAATTTTTTTCTGCGCTTTTTAAAACGAATTCTAGTCGATCTAAGTTTAAGTATTCTAAATTTGTAGAAAAACGACAAGCGTTTCGTTTCTACTTATTAAATTCCAATGAAATAGAGGTATGCACCATACGTGACGGCAGTCATGTTAGATGGCAGAAACTATACACTTTTTCAGTACATGAGAAAGAATTCAATTCCCGAGAGCAAAGGGATTTTATTGTTATGCCCTCTAACCACATGCAGTCCAAGCTCTATTAAGGGCGCCGGCACGTGACGGCGAAAGCCTCTATAGGACGTTTTCATGACCTCTACTACCAGAATCTCTTGCAAACTCTCTTTTGTTCAGTTGATTAACACCGATTGTCTTACTATTCTCATGAAGGAACACGAATTTTGATAAGAAAAAAAATTCGCGAATTTTTATGGTAGTGGAAGTCAAATGACGCCATCATGCAAGCGTCCTATTTGACGCGTTTTTTGTTTTTTTGTGTTTATTTATTTATTTATTTWTTTTTTCCTTCTTGCTAACCAATACAATTGATTGTCTTCGAGGCAATTCTTCATTTTCACGTTACGTCATCAGGTGGACTATAACCAAAAACTTCTGATTATGTGCTTCTGTACCTGTCCACCAGCATGTCCGCCATGTCTTTGTTTCTTGATCCTCTTGGAATCTTGGGATTTTTTTTGAATATTCATGTGTTCCTTTAATTATGGGTTGTAAGGGGAAGGGGGGACGAGGGGGGAGGGGGGCGGCGAGGGATGCACAGTTCATAGAAAAAACGGAAAATTACGTTTCACGTACGTAAATGTAAGTTACACTACCTGAAAGTCGTCTCTCTAACAACGGTTTCTGGAAAATGCTCGGAGGTTTTGAAAACTTTGTTTTCATCAAAATTCCACTTTCATTATAATAAAATTAGATAAAGTTTTTTTATAGTTCATTCTATACAACGTCTTTAAAAAATGCACTGGAAATTTGCTCAAACAAGTTTAACATTTTCTTTGAGTTTACAAAACCAAAGTAAGCTTAAGCTTATTTGAAACATGAACTGAGGTTATTATGATTGTTTTCAAAATATACTGGGCTAAAATTTATCATTCTAATTAGGAACACAAATCGTCAATAACTGAATAAGAGTAACTGATTCTACGATTTCTTTGTCATTCAAACAATTTGAGAGCTTTAATAAAACCAGATTTTCTTCGACGGAAGCGTAAGTTTGAAAGAAAACAAAAAAATGAATGAGAAGCTTTGAAAAATTACGGCTCACTGAACATGGATATGTTTTCGTCATTTTTTTTTTTTTTTTTTTTTTTTTTTTTGACTGTTTGAAGCAGGCCGCCATATGCCAATGGCTGATGTCATGAAGACACACTTTCGCCTCATTTAAAAAAGATACTGCCCACTCTCCTGTCCACAAATGCATTCAAATTCAAGCGTGGATGAAATATTCCTGAAATATGGAAATACTTCAAAAAAAGATGAGCCTAGAAAACTGGTTAAAGCCGACGCCGTTAACGAAAGAAACAACTGGCTTCCTCACCAAATCAATTCAGATAAGTTCAAACTTGACGTTGTATTAGCACATATACACATATTACATTTTCTTCTTTTTCCAAAAATTTGATATGACTTATGAAATATTGTAAATAAATTGTAAATTTATAAGTGTGTGATTGTAATGTATTAATAATTAGTAGCATTAAGTTTTAAATATTTGTCACAGATATATAGACGCTAATAATGTAAATAAACTAAAACTAAAACTTAGCTTACTGATATAACAAATTTACATTAATTCATCTTCTTTTTGAAGAATTTACCATCGCCAATTATTCCGGCCATGCGCCGCTCGCCAAGTCAGCGGATATCATGTATAAAATAAAAACCACAGGAAGCCCAAGCTCTCTCAGGCCCAGACTTAGAGAAACAAAACCTTTTGCTACGGTATTCCTGTGCTTTAATAGGTATCCTATTACAAACGATGGCAAACGAGAGCTGAGGATTCAAGCTTTATTTTGGTACCAAACAHGCCGTATTTTGCGAATAATTTTGAAGGTTTTTGCTTCACAAAGTGCCTATTCTTGAAGAAGGATCTCACAAATATTCGTCTCAAATCGGAGCTTTTTGAAAGTAAAAAACGAAAAGTATAAATTCGTTCAATCGACCACAGATTCGACATCAGTAATTTAGAATGAGTGTATTTTAAGGATCGACCCCGGCAAATGAGGTAACTAGTTCTGATTTTGAGRAATCTTGTTTATAATATTTGACCTTTTGTGTTTTTCTTGCAATTTAACAAAGCAGATATGGCAAGAAGGCTGTTAAAATCTAACTATCGAGACGAAAAGGTTTTTCCAAACAAATTAAAGTATGTTTGGTAAAAATCAAATGCTTTAATGTTATATATTGTTCTTCTTCCCCGGCAAGTGCAAAACTGTTTACACAGAAATTTATAAATCGAAAACTATCTTGACTCTCTATACATTTCTTTGTAAAATCTGACTTRACTCGCTTAACACTTTCAAGCAACACCGCTGCATTTGTACGCGGGCGCATGACCGGAATAGTTGGCGATGTGAATTAGCCRCTATTCACCACCCTTTAGTTCGTAGTTTCACCTAGTTTTAGTTTGAGTTTTTCTAGTTTTTTTGGTCGTACAAATCGCTCAACAAGTAACGTGTAGAGCCTTGATCAAAAGAGTTGTAGCTTGTAATGATAATAAGTTTTACATTACATGCCAGTGACTTTCAGTTATCTCAAGAGAATATTCATATTCTCTTGGTTATCTTTAATAATTTATTAAGGTTTCCCGAAAAGTTTCATCCAGAAATACTTTTTTATAACGAAGATTTGAATGTTTTAAAAGATCATAAGTATGTACACTCAGTGAACCATTTCATTTTTCGGTCCGTACCATAAGTTATGGACCGCAAATTAACCAATCATAGCGCGTGAAATTACCTTGCCATTTATTAACGAGGAATAAGTTATTATTGATTTTCACGTGACGTCGTCAAAAAAGAACAAAAAAAATCCAATTTATTCACTTCACAAAACTGTTTGTCGAATAATTTGTTTCACTTTGTTACGAGAGATATACCGCGAAGCATAGAGTGGACTCTCGCGCTGTTAGCTTTGGGATATAATAATTCCCAAAAAGGTAGTTTTAGATCCTGTGTGTACCCCTTAGGAACACTCTTCCGCCTCAGATTCAGGGTAGTTTGAAGTTTTGTGACTGTAAATCGAACCAATAACGTGTAGGAAGATGCTTTTTATATATGAATATCTAAAGAAAACGTGTCATTGTTTATAAACTACGAAATATATATAGCAAGCCAAATGCATGAAAACTGACCATTTACCAATACAACTCACATACGGTCTTGTATTTCTCTACCAAAAAGCGAGGAAGGTAGCAACAGCATTTTTAKTCGATTTTTTCGTATTTTACGAATCCTTTTCTCAGTGAGAGTCTGTAATTT